AAGGAAAAAAAATGTTTTTTATTATTTTATTGGTAATGTCAGCTTTATTTACAAACATTCAACACTATGTACTCCTTTCAAGAGACATTACATACATTATTTTTTAGTTTTAACCTTTCTAAGGCCTTTTTAAAGAAATTTACAAAGTGATATCTAAACAAGTGAGAACAATTTAAACTAATTACTGTGTTAACAAATTCTTAACAATGAGAAAGATGTTTATACAAACAGAAATGCATTTAGCAGGTTGTGTTACAAGTTTATTTTATGATTGATGGTATTTTAATATAATTAAATACACATATAAAAAGATAAAAGTTCACTTTTCTAATAAGAGAAGTTTCACAAGATTGAATATAGCATAATTGTTTTTCACTTTATACATTGTATTTTTTCACATTAAAACTGGAAAGACTCAAAACAAAAAAAATCAAGGATTTTTTTAATTACTGTCCAAAAATATACTATACAAAGCTTTCTTCTCTTATGAATTAAAAAATGCAATTCGTTTTCGATTTACTTTAGGTTGAAAGTTCAATGCTAATTTCTAGTGCAGCCTTGGATAAAACTGTTGAATATTCTTCAACAAACATTATAAAAACAGAAGCATAACAATATTTATTTAGTCTCTTTGTATGTTTTCATTTCCACAAGAAGAACTATGAATATATACAAAGCTAAAGTGGTTTAAAGCTCCAAGTGTCTATCAACAGACTAAAATGTACTATTAGCATGCTTCTGCCGCAGATAATAAACCACCTATTTCTACATTTATGGTCTGATGCCATTCAAACAGGAAAGGGTGAGGATTCACATCAGCATCATCCATTGTTGTAGTTACAGCTTAAAACCTATCAATTTTAAATGAAAATAATAAAAAATGAAATTTCTTAATGAGTAGGCAACATACACCAGCACCTTAGTCACCCTTACCTTAGTGATTACTGCAAATGCTTCAAATCCAAAGGGATGAAACACAAAAGAAAAAAATGAATAATATTCTGTTCAGGGTGCAACCTAACTACATCAGGGAGCTAAGGACCGGAGGATAATTTGACCATGGGTTAAGAAAGGAGGTTATGTTGAGCTGACCGCTGCAAAGTCAGACAAGAAAAGGACAGAAAGAAAAGTCAAGTCCCAACCTCTGAAATCAATTCACACATATCAAGCATATGGGAACTGTGCACTGCTTTAGTGTCACCTAGAAAATCCTAACAATGGAAAGGCATTTGGTAACACTTCCATACTGCACTGCTTTAAAATAAAGTGTTCAGTGTCTTGTACCTATTGGTAAGTGTCTCATACAGAGAGATGTTCACTGTTTTGCGTGAGTTCTAGTTAAGGTCCCTACATACCTTTAAACTGAATGACACATGTATTGTAAATGTATCCCTGATGGATGTGCTTGGATGAGATCTGGAAACCGAACAGAATTCAGTTCTTGCCTTCCCCAGAATTTCCATACCCATACAGGAAAAACAAAACGTTTGGGGGGGGGAGCTTATTACGCACGCCTTTAATAATAATTCCACTTTGAAAGGGTGCCCAGTTATTAAGTCAATCTTAGTTTAAAGAATATCACAAATACTCTCATTATGTTTAAAACAAATCCTGCTTGTTTGAAGAATAGCGGTGGATGTCAAGCTTTCAAAGAGAAACCGACTTCTTTCCGTGCGCGCGCGCCCGCGCCCGCGCCCGCGCCACGCTTAGTGAAACACGGGACAAGTCGCCAATAGGTAAGGACTATCAAGTCAAGTACGATGAACTTTCGAAAACCTAGAGTCTTTAAGAAAAAAAAGTACTCAGTACAAGACGGGTTGCTTTTCTCAAGTCCGTAGTTATACACCGTCTCCTTGGGTCTAACCAAATCCTACCTCTCTTTCTCTCTACTTACACTCCAGTATTGAAAGCGTCACTTCTGTTAGGTCAGAAAATTCAGTGAATAAGTATCGATCGTGAACCATACACGAAAATGACAAATGTGTTGATAGTATTTTAACTATTCTACTATTGCAGTTTTTTTTTTTGTCTGGCAATATGAACGACGACATTTTTTAGGCCTGCGTGCACATATGATTTGCAGTGCCAAACCGTTCTCTGTGCATACTGTGGTTTACCGATCTGTTCTACAGAAAGCATAAATATGTACCGGATCAAAATGATTTGGTTTGTAAGGGCGGTATTCTCAAATATTGAGGCTAAACATGGCTGTCAATTAGCCTACACATGGGCGCGTACATGTGCATATAAACGTTATCTCTTCCCATGTTCTTCAGGTTTCTAACAATATGAGGAAACAATGTGTATCGCCTGTCAGACATTGTGCGTCGTGTGCGCCTGCAGTTACGGATCCAAGTTATTTTAAAAAGTTTAAGACATTATTTTCTTACACTCAGTTAATCTAACCATTGAAAGCATGCCACATCACATTTTAAAATAATTTGAAAAAGTAAAAAGTAATTTAATTTTGTTGACATCCGCTCAATCTGTGTTTTTGTAAGGCCGCAATCCGTGTGGGTCAAGGACCTACCGCATTGTACAATGTACAAAATAGTTCAAGATACACCTCGAGTTTTGTGAAGAAGAACTGGCTAACTGAAATTAACAATGAACGACTCAAAATCCGCTTTTTAAGATTTAGAGTAAGAATTACACAATCATAGATAATGGGTTTATAGTACATATAACAATTGTTTCTGTAAATTCCTTGGCCGAACATTGTGTTTGAATGTTTACCATTCTGTGCTTCTTAAAATCCCCATTCGCTTAGCTGTTAGGTAGTCTTTCATATGTTTTTTGTTAATGAGGATAGTTTATTTCCATATCGAAGACTATGTAGCCATTGTGTTCTTGTGTGTTTTAGACTGAAAATTACTGTAAATATAAAATATATAACATTCCTTTTTTAGCCCAAAGACGGCCTTTTTGCGTCGTTTGTTGAGGGTATTTGTGGATGTTGCTAGTATGAATTGAGCAAGTGCTGCGTTAAGTTTTGATCTAAACGCAGCCTCTTTTTTAATGCACCTTGATTATGGAGTAACTGGAAAAATGTTAATGGTAATGTAGCCTATATTATGTCCTCAGTGGAATGCGGCCGAAATCCATAATAGTTTATGTGTATTGCATTAACCTTTCGTGCATAATTAGATCTTTGATATATGTATATTGTCTGTCGTGAGTTTCTTCCTTTAAGGTGTAAAGTTCTTTTTATCCAGCTGACAATGACGAATGGGAAACTGTTAAAAAATCCTAATAATTAAGGGAGGAAAAGCAGTTCTTTACCAAAGCGGCACAGAGACATTTATCTGATGCGGAAACTTCATTTAGCTGTGGTAAGACTTAAGCAGTGTTCCTGAGGAAACTTGTGTTTTGCTGTTTCGAGTGTGATTAGCACAAAAATTATCATCATCACTGTCATCGTCAGTGAAAATTTAAACATAAATTTGGAAATATGCAATAGTGAGCAATGTTGAAAAAAGAACTTCATTGTGCATGTAAATTTAAAGACTCTTCTTCTGTTTTCTTAACCCATTTTCTCACACACAGCCCTAAAAAGCACCTCCTGGAAAGAAGTGCTTGACAGACAGACGAATTGATAGATCGATCAATTAAGTGAGACCAATCGGTTTGGGTTTGCAGAGCACATAGTGAGCGAAATTCTTTCCTCGTTGACTTATTTTTTCTCGTCTTCTGACTCAATCAGCCTCTTAAAGTTGATTAGCCCGGTTAACCTTTGCTCTGCTCTGGGTCTGGAGGGGTTAATCAGGCCAGGATCTCAGTGACCCACGGGTCAGGATCCCACTGTCTCCGCTCCATTGGCAAGGGCGGCGATAAGATTACAGTCAACTTTTTTACGACACAGAGAGCCTCTCACCTGCACATATCCGCTTAATCGATACAGGGTTTAAACTCAAGGGAGTCTCGGCGTCCTTAATGAGGTTCTGCCTTATACCTAGGATAAGGTAATAGCACTGCTCTTCATTAGGCAGCGGACTACTTCGAGGTTAGCAAAAGACATACAGAGGAAAAACATTAAGAATGTCAAGTCTGGATTACAGAAGAGTACGTCTCTTCGTGTATATGTTTATATATGTTTATATGCTGTCAATTTCCCCCGCTACTGTATACCTTCACTGTATGCATTTGCGGTTACACCTTGCGCTTGACGTGGCGTAACTTCACAAAACTTCGCTGCTTTTTCCCTTGGCTATCATGTCATCCAAGCTTTAAAAATAAGAGCTGTCATTCTTTAAACCTAAAATGTGTCCGCTTTTCATCACCCTGAGCTCACTTTAACGGAGTCTTTGCCCTCTGCTCCCGAAAGTATATTTTTCTTCGCTTGTTGTTCCTACAGCCCATACCTGTGTCTCCCGATGAAACTAACTCCTTGTTCAAGCAAGTCGCGGTCAGCAATTCGGCGGAGCCCGCACTCACAGCACCTCGCGCGCTCAACAACGGGGTCTCTCTTAATCGCCGGCTATCGATTCACCTAACTCCTCTCAGCCACCTCAGGACACATCTTAGAGCACCGCGGCTCAGAGTGTGCTCTTTGCTTTATAAACAATAATAAAGTGATTTACCCCTTTCTCTCTGCGCTCCAAACAGGGAAAAATCGTTAAAGTTCCTGCTATTTGTGTGTGATCAGTAAATATTTAGCGCGGTGACATCTCCGGCTCGGGTCCTAATCGATGGGGATCCCAATAGGTGGTTGCCTATTGTGTGTGGAAGCTTGCTGGGATCTATTTAAAGGTACTCTTTATGTGGAAAGGAAAAGCCTTTCATCGTGTTGGGTACCCAGCAGAAAAAAAAAAGTGATTTTTCACTCCAAACCCAATTGTCTACTCATCCATCATCTTTGTTATTTTACCAATTAGTAGATTAATTATTTTGAAACTGTTTGATGCCTTTGTTTAAGGAATCTCAAAAGGCAAACATTGCAAGGATCTTCTATTTAATTTCTTACCACTATTCTAAGACTTATTAGTAAGTACAATTATCTCCTATGATTTTAATGTTTATTCCTCTATCTCTATCTGCATTTCCAGTTCTGAAGCCTTCAATCCGCATACCTTCGGCCGTGTCTTGAGAATAAAGAAACCAGACGTGATTTAAAATGTTTGTAAAAAAGTTCATTTTTAGACATTTAGGTTCAATGTTATGACAGCATTTTGACCTATCCCAAACGGAGTGGGTCCATCACCAATCAATACTAATCAATACTGTATTTAATCTTAATCCTACCTGTAACCTCACTAGTTACAATAGTTGTGAAACTCATCTAGACATGAAAATGTGCCTGTAGACTACGGTAAGAATTTTCGTTTTAGTTCCAAAGCTTCATTTGAAGTATTTAGCATCAACCGAGGCAGAAAATGTTGCACACGTTTTTTGGTTGAGAGAGCACCTATGTATCCATTGAAAGGCGGTGATCCGAAAAGACAAGGGGGGACAAATAAAAATCGATTTTAAGCGACCCCCTCTGTCCTTTTCTCACAATTCAGAGACCAGTTCTTCCGAGACAAAGGTCGATTTGGGATTTTTTTCCTTGAAAAGCACACACATACTTCGTATGAATCCCTAAACAATCTGAAATTCATCCAAACCCTGTTTAAATCCTCGGTGGTAAATGTTTTGAGATCATCTACAAAGTGCACGGAGAACGAAAAGTAAAGAAATAATCATAGTGGAAACTTGAAAAGATTACGTTCACTGTCTTGATAGGGTTAGGATAGGCGACATCTGTGACCCTAAAGTTCAAATCAAACTGTCAGAAGAAAGAAATTACATTCTGAAAAAAAGATCAGCAGCTGTAATAATGACGGTATTTTAGGACGGGTGGTTTTGGGGTATTAGTAAATGGGTACTATGTCTCAACATGAATAATTTGTCGGTTTAACACATGCACGCATCATATCTATAATAACTACAGACTGTATCAATATGTTTTCTGCTGCGGAATCCGTGCATCGGGCTTGTATTGTACATTTAGCAATAAAATTAATTAAACTATTAAGCCTGTACTGTAAAATTAACTTATATCCAAAGCATTTAAATGGAAGCAAAGACAAGCTTATTCGATCACCGGTTAATTTTAATTCCGTGAGATTTTCCAATACATCAAAGCTTAAAGACTCGCGTTGTCAGATCAGTCGCGAATTCCATTGTTTGCTTTGACAAATATGTATATACAGATGCTTATTAAAATGCTTTAACTCCGTATTTTTTAATCCATACCGCTGTTTTTTTAAGTGTTGTGCCTAAAGGCAATGAAAGTGTTCTCGGTGTCACGGAGCCAGAGTTTGCTTTGCCTAAAAGGAGCAAACGGAAGCGTACAAATCACTTCAATGGCTGCGATGAATGACTTTTTTCCTCGCTAATGCGGGGGTTTATAAATTCATAAAACTAAGTTTATACGACGGCGACAGAAAGACAGGTGTCTATATCTGCATTCCCTCCCTCTCACCCAGCCCACACAATGCAGTAGGGTGTACTAGCGCGTCTGCCTTCTGTGGAACAGAAAAGACAGGCAGAAGCACCCTAAAGGCGTCAGGAAAATTCCCCAAAGGCGTGAATTAACCTTCAGATTTTGTTTTTCTTAAGAAAATCCTCTGAAAGTTTTCCCGTCTTTTTTCAAATGTTGCGAGTGAAGATCTGGCCAAAGAAAAGTGAAAGTTAAAACACAAATCGAAATCACTCCCTATTCGGTTGTTAATATTAATGTACTTTTTGCTTCTCCTTCAAAGGTTGCAGCCTACTTTTTATCAGTTTGCATAATCGCTTAAATAAACATTAAGAAGTGTTTTTGTGTGTATTCAATAGAGAAAAAAAAACCGTCAGGTGGGAAGACAACGTTGACTCTACTGCCAAAACAGAAGACTTCTTGGTCTTTCTTTCCTGGGTAATATTAAAGGCGAAGATGCAACACGCAGAAGATGAGCACAGAAAACTTGCCTTTGGTACGTTTGTCGAAAAATGCTTTTGTTTTTTGTGTTTTATAAGGATGAGCAGACTGTTTTAATGTGAGACATGCACAGGTGAGGTGTGTCACTTCGTACTAACCTACATCAAACGGGTTTAGCCTGTAAATACATTTGCGTATAAGCACGGTCCGGGTACTGCAAAACAACTAAAGCAACTAAGGCTGTTTCGATTAGGGTCTTCCTGCTAAAAGATCAATGTACCTGCTGCTAATGAACCTTTCATTCCGCTGTACGCAAAAGTCTTGATATCCTTGGGGTACGCTAAGCCTTTTTTGAGCGTGTTTTCTTCGCCGCGAACAGTCTGCTAAGATGTAGCAATGCGAGAAGAAAGTAAAAGATTTTATAAACACTATGCGAAAGCTAAAATGTTTAGCTTTATGGCTAGACAGTTCTTAGATATTAATTTGATTTACAACATTGTATATCCCTCGCTAAAAGTCGTTTTATTTACGACCCGTCTGATTGCACGGGAATGAAAACAGCCAGGACCAGTATCCTTCCATTTATCAAACAAATGGCGCAAAATGTGCATACTCACCATCGGAATGGTATGGTCAAGATCCAGCATGTGACGATATAATTTACAGAAAGCGCGTATTCTGTTTGGCAGCCGGTTTTCAAAAAGGGAACGGTGATATGATTCGAGAGAAAAAAAAGTGTTTTGAGGGGGGGAAATATCAATAATAGTTTGATACAAAAGCCAAAAACTCAAATCAGCTCCGGTATGTATCCAAAACCCAGAAAAAAAACGGAGGAAAAGGAAAAACAAAACAAAGCAGACACCCAAATGCGTTGTTCAGCTACATCCAAGCCAATTAGCAGAAAATCCTAAAGCATTAATCAGATTAAAATGGGCACAAGTTTCTTTGGTGTTGGTGAGAGACGCAAGATCGGAGCGTTTTCCCTTTAAGAGGACTCCTCTGTATTAAACCTAGAATTGAGGCAGAGATGATCCATACGCTAGGGGGCACCCAGATACTGTGATAGATCCCGTCTTTGGCATTTTTTTTCTTTGTGGCCAGCATATGCTCTGATTTAGCACTGTAAATTTTTCAGTGGACCCAACTCTGACAGCCCCTGGTGATTTTCAAAGTACCACAAGCCAGCGGTTAAAAATTGCACCGACTTGGAAGTTCAGAAGCGCACAGGGAGCCACTTTTTCTCTTCACGGTGGCTCAGTGTCTTCGAATGAAAACAGAACTCAGGCGATTGTTAAAATGAGGAGAATAGCAATTCTAAACATGAATTTACCGCTCCGTGCCCATATGATCCATTTAAAGCATTTTTTTCCCACACACGGCAAACAGCCTTTTTACATGTTCTCCTACATATGTGTCCAGTATATGTAAATAACTGTATGTTGGCAACGTTGAATTCTATTCTCTACATGTGGCATCATATTTTGGTTTAATAATTATTTTGGGGCATATTTTTCATAGTCGCCCGTCTTCTCCTCTGCGTTTTTCTGCTGACGGATCTTAGAGGTCTGATCATTTTTTTTTAAATAGTGTATACCGAAACATTTAATATATCTTCGTCAATCCTTTACCAAGTTCCATATAAACATTTAACTCAAGCTTTTAATAAGACGGTCCAGTAGATACTTTGTTAATTAGGTAATAGCCCACTTCAAATGACTATATGTAACCAACATATGTCTCTATGTGTAGATAGCAATATATTTCATACACACAAATGTATAAATATAAATATAATGTCTATGTGCGTTAATTATTCCTATGCCAAAGTACAAGAGATGTCGCTTTCTTGCAAAGAGGAAGTTTGCTTAAATATATAAATACATTTTTCTGCTGACTGTGCCTAAGTAATATTTCAGTTCAACGTGTTTACACATATATTTGCATATATGTGTATGTTGCTGTGCTTTACTTTTAGAATCCCAACCAAGGGATCTTTTTTTTTCTTTTGAGAATGAATTGATCCACATTGTTAGGAAAGACTGGAATATATTTGTGGAAAACGCAAACTGAACCAGGAATCTTCGGGAAATGTATTTTTTACATTTATAATGTTTTACGTTTATCATTTATAATGTTTTTTCTCCTGTCTTAAGCTTGTCTATGCAATTATGAACTCTGAAGTTTACCTTCTTTAAAAAATCATTGATGACAAATTACTTAGATTTTATTTTAAAAAAGGGACTAAGGTGACTTGTAAGGTATTGTCCCTCTTTATAAGATCACTCCTTCTTTAAATTTAGTTACAAAGGAAGACCTAACGCTATCGAAGTCTCAGGACTACATTTTCCGTCAGTTTTATTCTCTGAAACAGAAACCGACAAAGCCTACAGAAGCATAGCCAAATTGAGACGAAAACTTCTGTTTTCTTTAAAAATCGATAAACAATACTATGTAAGCGTTGTGTATATGAAAAAGTTTTAGAAATAAAATAATGCAGAGAGTATTTTCCCTGCTCAGCGCATTTTTGCTGAGTAACCTAATGTATCATCTATCTAGGTTGTGAGAAGAGTTGGATGTCTCATTTTATATATGAAAACCATCTCAAATACATAGGCTGTAGCCTAGACTGGATATCTATAAACTAAATGCAGTTTTAATCTCTGGGTTGACTATGCATAGATAAATTCATGAATTTAGTTAATTTGCTGCGCCAGATATTTATTACACCAGAGATGAATTCTATCACAAACACGATGCAACACTGCCCCAAAAAAGGGCGCATCAACCATTTTGGTCAAAATGTGAAAAATACTATTTGGAACTTATTGATGCTCCGAGTAATCCCTCTACAGAAGCCGTCTAAATAGATGGACGCTAACTTTTATTGTTGGCTGAGGGGAGACTTTGTTTTAACCCGGCAAGACGTGGCAAATGTCACTCTGGTCGCGTAAGACAAGCGAAGGCTTATTTTTTAGCTATGTGAGCGGCAAATAACATCTTCAGGAATATTTTCGCGACCGAACTACATGTATCAGTGTGATTATTCACAGATAAAGAACATTGTTCAACATCAGTGTCCGTGTCCATGTGCAATGTATTGGACATTCTGCAACATATATATTTGGGGGGTACATTTGTCAATTCGTGTATGTATTTTTTTTTTTGCTTCAATCTCCGACACAGATGGTCAATTTCTAATTAAACCGTTTCACCGGGTTTTATTCCCTTATAATAAAGGTAGATTTAAGAGCTAGCGAGGAAGAGCGTGGTCACAGCGCCTCGCCGTCAGCCTATATGTCTCTCTTTAGGACCGAGCGGCCCCCCTACCTACCTCCCCCCCCCCCTCCCCTCCTTTGGCAAAGCACCAAGTAGCACAAGTGCCGACTGGCCAATGGGGTGGAGGGGGCGGTCCAGGAGTTCTGACCAGTCAAACACAGTCGCTTTCCTTATAAGGCAGCTCGTCGCCATGGTAACGTGTGCTAAGTTGCAGCAGTCGTGTCAAAGTTCACTATATAGAGAGCTCAGTGAGCTGATCAGAGAGAAAGCACTCTGCCAGCCCAGCTCCTACAAATCGCATTCACTTCCTAACCTCCCCCTTTTTAACATATTTGATCACTTTGATTCCCTGTTCTTTTTTTATTATTATTTTTACGCGCATGAAGGAGGTTCTATAGGTTGTGATCTTTTTTTTTTCATTATTATTACTATTGCCTGCCGGAGAGTTGACTTCATATTTGTCTCAAGCACTAGACTCCAACTGCCGCTGCTGCTACCTCTGTAAGAAGGAAAAGAAGAAGCAGTGATATTTATACATATTGTCTTTTTTTATGAGGTGGTGGTTTTCTCCAGGACATCTACTTGGGATCGCTAGCTGCTGGTATCGTGAAGAGTTGAGTTTTTCTTTTTTTTTTGGTGCGTGTGTGTGTTCCTTACTCTTTAACCTCTCCGTCCATTTCCTTTATTCTCGGTCGCCTTTTTGCGTTCCCTTTTTTTTTCTTTTAATTTTTTCTTTTTTTTTTCTTGATGGTTTTTTCCTGAATGGCTGACTGCAGGCAGCGCTGGACTTGGCCTCTAAACGCACAGCTGCTCTCCAGCTCGTCCACACATCAGGTTTAAACAGCAACAACAACAACGGCAACAACAACGACAGCAACAAAAAGAGAAAACTGATCAATTTAAACCAAAATACAACCGAGCATTTGAAGCTATTTTCCTCAAGTTTCGTCGGACTACCGAACTGAACCCGCGTCCCGAAGATATCCCTGTGCTGCTGCTCTGACTTTCACTCGCTCCCAAGCTCGCTTCCCCGAAAGAAAAATCAAAGCACCGCGACACCAAAAACGGGGACAAAAAAAGTTTCTTAACGTTGTCTGATAGATATGGCAATGGTAGTGTGGAGAGGCTCCCAGGACGATGTGGCCGAATCTCAGGGCACCCTGTCTTCACAAGCCCCTCAAGGACCGCTTTCCCTCCCCACCCCTCAGCCGGGCCAGCTCAACCTCGCCGCCCCGCAAGTTGCCCCACCGACCCCTCAGACCCCCGTGCAAGGCGGGCCTCCTAGCACCACGGCGCAGTCCACGCCGACGAACCAGACCAGCCAGAACCAAACGGGGGAGAAGCAGCAGCCACAGCACATTGAGTGCGTGGTTTGCGGGGACAAGTCGAGTGGCAAGCACTATGGTCAGTTCACATGCGAGGGCTGCAAAAGCTTCTTCAAACGGAGCGTACGGAGAAACCTCAGTTATACGTGCCGTGCCAACAGGAACTGTCCCATTGACCAGCACCACCGCAATCAGTGTCAGTACTGCCGCCTCAAAAAATGCCTCAAAGTTGGCATGAGACGGGAAGGTATTGGGATTTTTGTTTTTACTTCTGTCGATGTCTTTGTGTTTGAGAAAACAAAATGTGATATATTATTTTCTTTTTTTTGTAAACCCCTCCTCTCTGTACTCTCCCGAGTCTTCTTCGTGAGGCTCCCGGAGAGGAACAAGCGAGCTGCCGCCTTCATTACTTCTGCATGCTTTCCAGACGAAGCGTATAGCTGTCCCTTTCCGCACTCCGTGTCTCGGTGCAGTCCGGTTTTATTTTCTTATTAAGGTCGTTGTTTTATCAAGGCTTGGCGTGTTCGGAATTTATCGAGCCGCCAGCTTTTTAAGAAGAAACCCAAGAGATATGTATCTGTGGATTTCTGTAACACCAAGTGTGAGGGATATGCTGAGATATTATGGCGAAGCTAGGAGAAGAGCTTGTTTTGTTTGTTTTTTTTTAATCATCCATTCGTTATGATTCGGAAATCGCGTCCTTCCCGTTTGTGCTTTCATTTTAATTTGTTTTGGAAAATCCTGGTCCACCATGTGCGTAAAAGAGGGTAAGAAATGCTAAATAATAATGGCAGTGTCGTGTTTTTAAAAATAGTCCTGCCGAGCGCTAGTTTTCTGGAGTGCAGAACTGCGCCGGTGGTTTTAAGTAGGTTAAGGGTTAGGGCTGAGCTTTCCATCGGTCAGGCTGTAGTTCACACACATATACATATATGTTATTGAATGTACGATCAAAAAATCATTTTTTAAAAAATAACGGAACTGAGAGCACATACAAAGGCGAGGAGGACAATAAATTTTAAAACAACTCCCAACACGAGTCGCTTTCGTTTGATACTACAGGTCAAGCCCGAACTGCACATGCAACACCAAATAGCGCAGCACCACCGCGTTGTTTTTAATTTTTCTTTCTTCAGCAAAACGCTCACACAGCAGGCTCGTCTGTGTAATTCGCGCGAATTGACGTGTAATGCGCTAGAAATGGGCAAATATTCTGATAGAGCGCGAGAAACAAGTCTAGCCCGCGCTTAACGACATGGCCTTGTCTTGCTGAAGTTTTCAACATGCTGTCAAATCGGTTGTTATAAGTAACTAAAGTAACTGATGCCGTTGTCTGTGAAGATATTTAAACACAGTATATTTTGTTTGGGTGTGTGTGTGTTTTAACTGAAACAGCTACATGCGAGGGTGGTGAAAACGTATTGCATGTGTAGAATTCAGGCATCAATATCTGCAGTTTCTCTTTTTACTGCAGCGGTTCAAAGGGGACGGATGCCGCCCACACAGCCACACCACGGTCAGTTCGCCTTGACAAATGGGGACCCTCTGCACTGCCATTCCTACTTATCCGGATATATCTCTCTTCTTCTGAGAGCGGAGCCCTACCCGACCTCCCGGTATGGCAGTCAGTGCATGCAGCCCAACAACATCATGGGCATCGAAAACATTTGTGAACTGGCTGCCAGGATGCTGTTCAGCGCCGTGGAGTGGGCTAGGAATATCCCTTTCTTTCCAGACCTCCAGATAACGGACCAGGTGGCCCTGCTGAGGTTAACCTGGAGCGAGTTATTTGTGCTTAACGCTGCCCAGTGCTCAATGCCTCTCCATGTGGCTCCACTGCTGGCGGCGGCTGGCCTGCACGCCTCGCCAATGTCTGCGGACAGAGTTGTCGCCTTCATGGACCACATTCGGATCTTCCAAGAACAAGTGGAGAAACTCAAAGCGTTGCATGTTGACTCTGCTGAATACAGTTGCTTAAAGGCCATTGTGCTTTTCACTTCAGGTAAGCAATGATACGTTTTATCAGGATCGTACTTTTAGGTGCTTATATATATATTTAAATATTGGATTACGGGGAAAAACGGATTTTTTAAAGAAAATATTCAGGTTTAAAAAAATGATACAGTGAAATAGTTCATTGGAATTAAGGGGCTGTAATATCAATACGATAATTAGACACACATATTAGCGTTTTATTTGTAGTAATGTGCCTTTGGAATGATAAAAAAACGTTTAAAAATTAAAACGAAACTAAACAGCAATCCAAATACAAAGACAATTATTAACAATAATATTTTTTTTATTTACATGATTAAACAGTAGTGTGAAAAAGATAACTGCCCCATGGCTCAGGAGAAAATGACACACATTCCAAAATAACACTTGTATGTTGTTCTGACATGCACACTGGATAACTGAGGGCTCAAAACTGCCTCTTTTTAATTGTCAATCCAGTACTTGAAAGTTCAGAGAAAGTTATTAAAATCACCCTTCTGTAATCTATATAAGGAGCATATTCCTACCAATATCTCTGAGTTTATATCCAATCAAATTGTAAGAATAATACTTTTACATTCTATATATGTGAGTGATATTTTTGTGAAAAGTAAAGTAATAACACATATTAATTTTATTAAAATACAGTTTTAAACATCACAATCACAGGCTTCAGTAAGATGGCAAAAAGAGTGACAGACGTATCTTGCACGTTCTTTTTATTAATTTAGTGTTTTTTTTTTAATCTTCAATACATATAGAACATCTGTATGTGTTGTTGAATGTAGCTGGGTTCAGAAACGGATAGAAGTGTGTCACGTGTTTAAGACAAATCTGGGAACATCAAGTGAAGACATGGGCCTAATGTTCTATTTCCACATATTAAACTCCTGGCTTGTTAAATGACATTTTTTCAAGCTGGAGTGTGCCAGTTATGGTGTGTCTTAAATTACACAAAAACATGTCTCCCCGAAGTTAAGATTAATAAAGTAATTACTCATCAGAGACCCAAGGCTTGATATCAGGAAACAGAAATTTTCCGTTTATGTGGGAAAAAGCCTCACAATCCTTTACTTGTTATGTTAGGGTGATCTGGGGATCCAAGACATTCTCTGGATCTGTTCCAGAGCCGGGTCATGACCGAACTTCCCCCTTGCATGATTACTTCACACATTAAAAAGGGGAAAAATGAAATATATTTAAATCTCGAATAATGTATCTTCTGCGCCTCTCTGTGTGTTGCTCTCTGTGTGTATGCATGCACAGAAGTAATATTGAACACATTCGTGCATGTGCGCCGTTAATTTGTTTAGTAATGCAAAAAGAGCATTTTGTGTCTAGTCGGGCTCTGTGGAAGGGCTCCTCGCTATCTGGAGCAGGACTCAGCTAGTCTTCTTGCTGCGGAGAAATCAGAGCTTTTGTCTTTTACCATTCGGGGTAAACATCCAAACCAGGATCTCGGGATTCTTCAGCAGCCTCCCAAAGCCAGAGGCCTGCTTCACGGAGAGCAAAGCGCTTCTGTACTGCAACGCTGGCTTTTAAACACAGCGCAATGTAAAATGCAAACATATAAATAGCTCGTGCTCGCGTTTGCTCCATGTCTGCGACGGCCATATTTATTTGTTATTACAGCTATTCGTATGAATCTGTGAGAATATTTCAGACCGTCTAAGCTGTCAAATGGGGGGCTACCATTAGTCCTTAAGCGAAATGAAAAATGCAGTACAAAGGTCAGGTCACAACCCCTGATGTTGTTTATAGCTGAAGCAAAGCTCCCTGCATTACAATGTCTAGGATCTCAAATAGTTACTTTTCTCCGAGGTCTTTAAAAAAATAAAAAAATAAAATCACTACCGCAGAAGATAGAGGTGAATATGTTCGTGGTTGGTTTTGAATGGCCCGAACTGCAAAGTAGCTTTAGAAAAAGGCTCTTGTCAGTTTTATTTATTTGTAAAACACCGAGTAAAATAAAAAAAGGGGACAGGGGAATAGAAAAGCACGATAACATTTTGATTATGTGAACTTGAGAACAGTTTTCGGTTAGCTTCAAATACGTGATAGTTAATGCCTCAGACTTCAGGGAGGTTAGACAGAAGTGAGCTAACAATGAAGTGAATTACATGCACGGATCTATCACCTGAAAGCTTCTCCCCTCCTAAAGTTAAGCTGAATATACATGTACAGACAAAAGATATTGGGCTAAAATAATAAAACATGTATAGCCAAGAGTTTATTGCTGAAACTGCAGGTTTACTTTTAGCCTTTCATTGCTATTTAATGTATTCTAAATTGACCCATCCAAAAAGTTTTAGAGTGGTCTTAAATTAAGACAGCAAGCATCCAATCGGACAAAAATATCTGTAAAGATATTTTCACACTGTGATTTTATTTCCGAAAAAATAACCTAAAGGGAATCGTCGTAGATAAAGATGGTTCCGGCCATCTGTTAGGCCCATATTCTCCTTCGCAACTGAAAAAAAAAAGATTACTCTGTATGATACAATTACATAACATTGCATACATGATCCGTAAAACACGGTGTTTATTTTTAGCTTGCGCAAAGGAGAAGGAAAATAATGACTTGTCACTTTTAATTGCAGGATTGAAGGGCCTGTGTACTTTCTTGTGTACGAATTAGTATTTTAAATTGAATCAATTTCTTTTTTTTTTGCTTCCCCCCGCTTCTAGATGCTTGTGGTCTCTCAGATGTGGCCCATGTGGAAAGTTTGCAGGAAAAGTCCCAGTGTGCTTTGGAAGAATACGTTAGGAGCCAATACCCTAACCAACCAACTCGGTTCGGGAAGCTTTTACTGCGCCTGCCTTCTCTTCGCACAGTTTCATCTTCAGTCATAGAGCAATTATTTTTCGTCCGTTTGGTAGGTAAAACGCCAATTGAGACCCTCATCAGGGATATGTTGCTATCTGGAAGCAGTTTTAACTGGCCCTACATGTCCATTCAATAAACCTAGACGGGCGAAAGAAGGAAAGGGCAAACTTGAGACTCCAATAGGTAGCGCTTCTTCTGCTGAAAGGGGCATCGTCTGTTACACGAGTTTACTTTAAGGAAGAGGCGTTTAAGAGAATAAAGGACTGTGAATATAAAAAGGACGTTCAGCGAACTTTCGAATGCATTTTAAGAACTCCTGTGTCGTTCTGAACAACTTGCTACTTATCATTCTTTGTAAAAAAAAAAGGATTTTTTTTTCTTTTTGGTAAACTTTTGAGGAAAAAAAGAAACTATATAAAAGTGCATTTAAAAGGAGAATTTGGAGAAAATTAGGAGAAAAGGAAAAAAAAAGTAAGTTTTCTTTTCCAAATTATTATAAATTGTCCTGTGTCCATGTATCTATAGCTGTTTTTGTATTTTTTTTTCTTCTGGTTCCAAACCGGCTTATTACGTGGTTCTGTAGTATACAGTTTTTGATATAACCATGGCTTCTTATCAAACAGAGAAACTACTATCATATAAAATGTTCTGCAAGAATTAAAACTAAATTCATGTCAACGTAGAGGGGGAACACTAATTTTATACAATTCAGAATGATGGAAGCGCACTTACTGTAAGGGTGACCCAGACGTTTTCGGGGGCTGGTGTGACGTTGGGCTTTCAGTTTTAACCCTGTTTAGTGACCAGAAAACTTCATTCGACTAACCTGTAGGACAGTATGAAAAGTTGGGGATTCCTCGTTAATATTGCGGCAAAGTCTTGTGTCCAAGACACGTTACAATTCTAAGTGACAAACAGGCTATTAAATTAGTTATACTGCTCTGCGTTTCCCATGTCGTGTATCTTAAAGGAACTTTTGCATGTCTCCTTGTAAGGCGTTTGTGGTATATATTCTTTATATAGCCCCCTTTGAAAAATGTTTCCATTGGATTAGATATTATGTTGGCACTTGAGGTTAATGTGGAAAAATCCTAGGATTTAAACAATATGTTTATAAGCCCAGAGATTTTTTTTTTTAAATCATGAGGTGTATCCTGTAGAAATTTTTAAATATTTGAAATGTTGGAGTTGAGTCAAATTCCAAGAACATAAAATGAAAGTATATGGGAATTCAAATATTAATTGCTGGGTGGAACATGTTAGGGTTTACATGTGTATTTGAATCAATCCCTCGTTCAATTGGTATGCCCTTAGGTTTCTTATCTGCCTTGCCATAGTGATATACGAAAATATTTAGAATTTCACAAATAATAGCGGAGCGGGGGTGCCGTTTAAATATTAGTTTAAAAGGAAAAGCTTAAGCAGTATTATAGAAATACCTGAAATTGTTCAAATTGTGTTATCTTTACAAATGCCCTTATATGTCAAACATTAAGTGCCTGTAAAGAGGAAAAGATTAATCTCTTACGAAATGAGAATTAAGTGTTGGAATCCTTCGGAACACAAGTTCGGAACGTCAATTGTCTATTTTACACACAAAAGACACAAGCAGTTAGCAGCAGTATTGTTGTAAATATAGGTCAGTTCTTTTCAATGAGATTTCCTTTATACAAAGTATATGTGATTAAGAAAACAAATCTGTGGTTGCCATTTTTTTTTGTAATTCAAAATGTCTTCAAATTGAGTGACAGACTTAGCTAGTAGCACTGAAGGTTCTGTTTTTAATGTATATAAATATTACGGAAAAATAATTTGATTTTTTTATATATATATTTAGACTGTGAACGCATGGCCACAGGTCGCTAACCTATTTTACATTTGGTATATATAAATGTAAATGTTTTTGATTGTATAGATATAATCTGTGCATTCAGTACAATAGCCCTTGTATTTAAAAAAATAAAAAAAGAAAAAAAAACAAAAAAGGTTAAATAATAAGACTTAACAGGGTGAGCTGGTTTGGAAGAGGGTAGTTATTTTGTTTTTGTGTTTTGCTCCTTTTTCGGTCTGTGGCAGATGCCGTGTATGTTTGAAAGCTTGCAATTTTGTCCTTGTGTGAGGTTTTTCAACGCCACACGCGACACCATGTTGTGGATAAAAAGGGATCATCTTTGTATAGCTGGTTGAACAGTGATCTTTGGCTGTTTAAATGCCACATATGGACCAGAGAATGATACATGATTGTAATTATGAACAGTTTAAACAACTGACCCACGTTTTTATATATAAATATATATAAAAATATATTACTGCAGGGTATTGATAACGTATAGATACTTTTTTTATTATTAATTGCAAGTGATATACGTGAGTGTGTGTGGAAGTTTATAGTTGAAAACAATTCTTGTTTGTTTGTGTTAGCTTATTGTAAACAAGCATTCTGTTGTAAATTTGTTCTTGGTATTAAATTATAATTTATGAATTTGAAATCAAAAGGCGTTCACTGTTTTATTGTTTCCCTCGATTTGAAAATATAACATCAGCGGGTCTGAATGCAGAGAAAGAACTAAGAAAGATGAAACGGGAAGGAACGGAGGCGATGGGGTGCTAAGTTTGGGTGGTGTGAGGGCTGGGTTCAGATTAATATTGGCGTTTTATATTTTTCCCATATAATACCCAAGCAAGTAACCGTTCACATTAGATAAGACCCCTGGACTATGTTCATCTTCTCATAACGGAGCTGTCAAACTGTAGATTTTAAATTCGTTTTTTTATCTATTTTAATTAAAGCTTTAATTTCTTAACTTGGTTACATCAAAAACAGGAAAATGCATTTTTTTTATAAAGACAGTCATTCAAAGTTTTTTTTTTAAGTATATGGGGTTTTCCAGGGTGCAAAAAAGTATACGACTGTATTTAATAACCGCTAATGACTGTATTTATGTGTGTGCAACAGTTCGTGTTACAGGGCATGTGTGTCTTCCTGTTAACATTCACTATGAAGTCAAAAGACTGTCAAGCCCCTCTACAACGTAACCCTGGGCTTGTGGATGTGTACATTTTTACAAACTAATTCGCTGGCAGCAGGTATAATGGTTATTGCTTCTGGTCCGTATCAACAACCGTCATAAAACCACCACAGATATATTGGGTTTGACACAGTCTTGTTTCAAAACGGCTGACAAGATGTTACTCTCCTCTTTCTTCCATTGAAAACTCGGCTGCAATAGAGTGTCTAAACGCGATAAAAAAAACGAAGGCGACCGTTGTTTTTTAGGCTTTGCCTCCTCCTGTTATCTTCCTTCTACTAAATCTGTGTGCTAAATTGTATTTTCGCGTTGTTTGTAATGGGAGATCGAGCGTGTGAAAGTATGCCTTTAAGCTCGCATTCGACTTGGTGTTCTATTAGTTGAGTCAATATGGCGTCTTGCGATGCTATGCACGCTGCGGCTCTCTGTAGCAAAGCGGTGTTTAGTAAGAGAAACCACATTGCAAAAGGGACTCCCCTCCATCTGTGCACAGAGCCCCCAATAAAACTATTAGCAGCAACAGCGAGCAGATCATACGTTATTTTGTGATGAAACATGCCGGAGTCTTTGGGGAAACATTTCTTGCAAGCATCCCCCACAAGTCTGTGTGACCAGTTTTTTTTCTGTATTCGAAACCTATCATAGAAACAATCTTTCATTTGCATCTTATGTGCTAATTCACCCTTTCAGTAAATCATGTATTGCGACTCTCTAAACGCACCGTATATGCGTCGAAGCACAAAGAATCGTTTTATGTTCCCTGTCCATGGGTGTAATTTGCATGTAAAGCTTGAACTTACACAAACTCTCGGTGATCTTATCGCCTGTTAAATGTATAAAGTTAGTGATTTTTTACGTACCCTACAGTCCTTAAACTGATGGATATTGTAGTATTGTTCAATGGTTTAAGGATCCATGATAAATATAAATACGTCTCTAATATCCCGTAAAAATAAAGCTAATGGCGACCAATGTACAATAAGGGTATTACGTTTCTTAATACCATTTATTTATACAACGTCTTATAATTTAGAACGAGTTTATAAATTATTATTATTATTATTATTATTATTATTATTATTATTATTATTATTATTATTATTATTATCACCATCGCCTGAACGTAAGCGGGTTTTATTCAATCTGTACCAGAGCAGTAAGCGAACAAAAATTATTCTAACGCTTGTCGGACGCAGAGCTGAGTTCACCCCACTGTCACGATTTATTTATTTAAGTAAATCCCGCTTCACATGATTTTCACCCATTTTCTCAGATTTCAAAGGCTCCCCACTACGCTTCTGCCTAATTAATGGTGAAAGTCAACTAAATCTAATTACGCAGTAATTTTAAAGCAGTTAGTGTTGGGCGTTGGTGTAACTAGACTCCGGGTTATGAAGACGGAAAAAGATGTATGTTTTTCATTTCTTAATCATTTTATATCTCTAACTTTATGTCTACACACTTTTCACAGATTCGCAGGATGTCCTAAACGGTGTTACCCGTGCTGTTAATTTGATGGTTATTTTTAATTTCAAGGTAATCATGATATTTGCTTAGGAGCACATTGTTAACGATACATAGAAGTCACAACTTTCTGAACTAGTGAATACTGGACAGCTTGATTACTGTATTTTACAATATTATTTTACCGATGGTAAGGATGCGTGCAATAATGTTCACAGATTATTTAAATTATTATTATTGACGTTTATATAGTCTCACTGTTCTCGAGACAATGTTGTAGATGTAGATATTTGCTCATATTGTGTTGTTTGGAGCAGCACTTGCCGTGCTACAGCGCAGTCGGAAGTATTGAACCTACACTCACACTTACATTTGACGTTTGCTGAAGCATTCGATGTTATATGTTTTTTATTTGTGTGCGTTAAAACATCTCATAAGACATTTAGAAATATATCTATCTATCTGAATTTGGCAAGCAAGACGCCTGAGCGCGGAGTGTGAGCAGAGTAAGTTTGCGGTCATTTAGATCATGGCTGCACTACGTTGATTTTAGTTGACAGAGCGTGTGTTGAGGCTGAACTCTATAATTTGCACTTCTGTTCTTTTCATTAGCGTTGGACAACGAACTAATGAGCTCTCCCCCAGTACAATGTCACTTTTATTTATTTTCTTCTGGAAAACTTTAGGATATATGCTTGGGCAATGTGGAACGACTTCCGAGATTTCTAATAGAATACTCATTGATTGCATGCGAGCATCTACTTAAGCCTCTTAATTTACCTTTTTGGAAACCGTGCTGCATTGTTTACCTGCGATTTCGGCTAATAACAAAGACAATAATAGTCTAGAGCCCTTTTCCAGGTTCAAACACATACCGGAAGCGAGTCGGAATGAAAGTGTTTATACTGTTATGGAAAATAGGCCAAGACTAGCAGTGTTTATTCAGGGGTACTTAGTGTATACTTTGTTCTTAGCGAAGGACGGTCCAAATTAAAACAGTCTGTGACATCCAAGACATCTGAAAGTAAGCAAGGTGTTCACGCGGCGTTGTGCTAAACAATACAGCATTTATCTGGGAGAGTGTTCTGCTTCAGATCTAATTTAGAATGATACAGAGAGCTACCTCTTCGTTTTATAAGTCTATTTGAGTAATATGAGTGTTTAATGCGCGTAAGCGTAAATTGGGTTTTATTAATCAAAATATTATTTTACGAAACCATGATGGCATTTAAGCAGCACACCGTACCAACCAAACTGTACCACCTTCCAGGAAAACTGGAAGTTATTTTCAATACGTGTTAATAAATATGAATACAATACCTCCCTATCTGCAGATGTTCAATGGATTCAAACCGAAGCCTTTTGAATTCAGATAAAATCAATACAATATTTTAGCATCATTTCCACTTATAAAAATGATGAGAATAACAGCAACAACTTTTACTCTCCTCTTTTATCATTAAGAATGCTCGCTTACTCCCAGTAACAAGATCCCATTACTCGACTTTAAGGACGCTCTTGGGCTTCAGCATTTTACACAGATTCATCTGGTCCCAGGAGATTTTTCTTTCCAGGAGACAGAAACTAGAGGAAAAAAAAACACGCACATAAAAATATGCTTATGTGGCCTAGAACGCCGTACAATTGATGGAGTATAGAGAAACAAGGATGAAATGATCAAATATATGGAATCTATTAGTTTAGCAACTTGAAAACAAAAGGGGATTGTGCGTATTCAGACACGCCAGCTCGCTGCTTTTCCTCCCGAGCCCTCGATATTAACACAGTTCCGTTAGCCTTGTTTATAATGTTCTATTATTCTCTTTACCGTACCCCCCCAGCTCTCCCCAAATTGGTGCTAACTTGTGCCTTTTATGTTCAATCTCTAATTTGAGGTAATCAGGCGCCGCATGTCTCTCTCTAAATGCATTTAATAAATGTCTATTAAACTGCTAGAAATGCAAGATAAATTCAGTGAGTCTGCAGCCTCCCCGAATCCAAATGGTAATGACGGATATTGCAACAGGGCCTTTGCCTTGAGCGCAGCTACAGTGGAGTCTGCTAAATAAGTGTTTCCAATTATATCCATTGCGTTCTGTTTACACTCTATCCTTCACTAATAAATGGAAATACGCTTTCGTTTTCTTGTGCTTATGTATATGTTATTATATTAATACATTATTACATTATGCACGTTTGTGTGTTTATAACTCGCGTACACACCTTATTTATCCCCCTCTTCACACGCCAGAGACTTCCACTTTTCTACCCGGCAAAACTAGAACTATTCAGCAGTGACTTAAAGGGAAGAGGGCTCTGTGTGTGCTCACTAGCGACCCCTAGAGAGAGAGGGTTGGAGAGCTTTAGCGAGATCCCACTGCAGCCGCCAGAAGGACAAGTGAGATCACTTGCCACTGTGTCTTGAAGCCGAGTCTCTTTCCTTGAAGGAGGAGCGGTGTCCTTTGTCTCCAAACGTGTTTGGTAAGCCTGAAAACCGCCACCCCACCCTTCTCCCAGTCACCGGCTAAACAGATAACGGAGTCCCTGAAATCTTCACTTGTCCTCTGCTGTTTAAGAGCTGTCCAGCACCGCGGAAGAGTTTCAGAGTCACGACGTCCTATCACCTTTAGCAACAGAGCCCCAAAAAGAAAACCCGCGTAGTTATATCCACATTTCCTTTTCAGTGGGACACGGTCGTTCAGGGTCAACATCGCGCATTTTACATTTGCTGACATTGCAACTCACCAGTTACAACTACGCTAGCACTAGCTCCGGCAAAATACGTTGTGAGACAAGACTTCCACCTTTTGGCGCTTTTCAAGTCTACACATTTTGTACATTTGTACACGTTATTTATGTCTTCTTTTACTGGGACAGAAATTACAAACGTGAGTATTTATACTGTGAGAACGTTTCTACTTATTGAAAGCATCTTAGCTGTCCCTTCCGCACACACACACACATATAGGTAAAAATGTATGTATGTATGTGACACT